CCCACTGTGGATTTACACCAAAATTTGGGATTTTTATCCTGCCACAATTCTCTCAAAAAAACCAGTTTGTGTTCTTCCAGAGGTTCCTTAGGATCATCTTTCCCAAATTATTTTGGAGTTTAATTCCTCCCATCCCAATTTCCTTCTTTCCCTGTGGGAGATCTCCCAGAAAAACCAGAGTCTCCCCCTGGTTGATCCAGAGATTTTTTCTTTTTCCAACTGTGATCCAGGGATTTTCTTACTCCAACTGGTCCCACTGCTGGGAGCTGTTTCCTGAGTGGACTGGGAACAACAGAAATTTTTAGGAAAAATTGGATATTAGGGAAAATTTCCCCCCCTAAAAAGCATGGGAAGAGGTTGCCCAGGGCACTGGAGGGATTTAAAAGCTGGAAGTGACACTTGGGGACATCAGTGGTGGCCTTGGCAGGTTTGGGAACGGCTGGATTGGATCTCTGAGGGGTTTTCCAACTCTGGAATTCCACTTTCCCAGTTTTTCCCCACCCCAGGACACAGGGAATTATTTTAACCCTGGATGTGCTGGTGGCTGAAGCTGCCACGGGATAAAGGATCTGACCTCACCCCAAGACAAGTGGGATTTTCCACGTTTTTCCAGGCAGATTTTGGGAACGGGATGGGTTGGGAACAGAACAAAACCTCTGGAACAAACTGATGTTTCCCTGTGTTTCCTGGAGATCTTGCCCCAGGATGCTGCAGATGAGGAATAAAAAACAAGCCACAAATGCAAAGATTCCACCTTTTCCTCAGGAAATGGAGTTTCCATGAGTTTTCAGGATGCAGCTCCACGTTCCTAAATTAATCCTCCTTGGCCCTAAACTCGGGAATTATATCCTGGCTTGGGGTGGGATCATTTTTTTTGCTGTTTTTAACTCAGTGAGCCATGGTGGTTGTTCCTAAGCAAACCCAGGTGCTGGACTGGATTTCCAATTTTTTTTTTTCCCTTTTTTTTCCCATTTTTTTCCCGATCACCCAGTGCTGATTCCAGCTGGGAATTCCATGCCCTGGAGCAGCTCAGCATTCCCTGATCCCATTTTTGATCCTGTTTTTGGCCTCCAGCTGTGCCAAGGGGTTTGGATTGGATTTTAGGGAAAATTTCCCCGTGGAAAAGGAATGAGGATGTGGAGGCCGCAGGATGGTTTTAGGGCCTGACAGGATTTATTTGGATGGGTTTTAGGTGCTGCAGGGAATTCCTGGCATCTTTTCAGGGCACTCTGCAACCTCCAGAGAGAGCTGCACTCAAGCTCTGATTTCATCTCACAGCAAATTCCAAATCCCA